TTTTTTTTAATCTTTGTCTTTGAGTTAATTGCTTTGAATGATTTACATGAATATGTTTCATTTCTAATTTTTCTAATCCTTGATAGCTACGCCAACTATCTGAATAGATTTTTGTTCCTAGAATAACATGTTTTTTTATAATTCTTGTAAGAGTATTTGTATTTCTGTCTTGTACAACTTCAAAATAACATTTGTTAAATTTTTTTTTAGTTAATTCTACAACCCATCATGAATTATCTTTTTAAATTTAGATTCATCTATTTTTACAATTTTACGTTCTTCTTCTAGCCTGCTATCATTAACTATTAATGTGTTTATTATTAAATCACGAAATATTTTTATATATTTTTTAATCGATTTTGGTGATAATCCTGTTAAATATCTAAGTGTTGTATAATGCGCTTTTGAAATTTAAAAATAGCTAAGTGATAAGATCTAGTTGCTTTTTAAATATCTTTTACTAAAGAATGAATTATAATAAATTAAGATTGTCTTGTTACAATTTGTGTTTTTACATATCTATAAATTATATCAACAGTAAAATTCTGTATTATTATATTTTGAGCAACTATTTGGTAGTTTATTAATAAGTTGGTTTTTTAATAGAAATTCGATACACTTTTTTTTATTAAATAATATTTCTTGTATTGTATTTATTTTAGGAATTGACATATTTTATTAATAAAAAAAAATTATTTGTTTGCTATTTATAAATATTTTTAATATCAAAAAATAACTATATAGTAAAATAATTTATAACTTTTGAATTATACGTGAGAATCCTAAATAAAGATAATTATTTCTGTTTGTTCTTTTGAATTCTTCATCTTTTGTTTCATCTACTATATCTAATTCAAAATTTTTATTATAATTAAAATCATCTTCTTCTATATTGTTAGATTTCTTTTTATCAAATAATTCTTGATAATTTTGTTGAATTTCAAACTGTTGTTGATTAATAATATTTTGATAGATTTCAATCTGTTCTTGATCAAAATTATTATTTTCTTGTTCAACCTGTTTTGGTTCTTCTATATATTTGCCTTTTTTTCTTTTGCAAGTATAATTTGAGTCATCTGAATATAAATCAGAATTATAATTTATCTCATTAATCAATAGTTTTCTTTTACTTGATTCTTCTCAGAGATCTGATGATTCTGTTGATATACTGGTCTTTCGATCTTGATTTGGTAGACGTTCGAATATAAGATTTCTTTCTTTTTTTGTTTTTTATTCTGTAATTTTTGTAATATTATCGGAAATGATATTTTAACAGAAGGAATTCCATTCTTATGTTCTAAAAAGTTTTCTTTTAAATTTTTTCTTTTGATTACTTTATCTTTATCTGTATTTTCTTGATATATTCTTTCAGTATTATAAATTTTTAGATAATACAGTTTAATTTGCTCAAGAATATATTTGTTTTTATCAATCATATAATATTTTTTCTAATAATAAATACTATCTAATTCTTCAAATCTCTGTACTTATTTTCTAATATTTCTCTTGCTTTTTTTTCTGTAATATCGTGATTAAATTTAATTTCAAATTTTATGAAAAATCATTCGAATTTTATAACATGAACATTCATCTTTACATAATTTTTTATTATTCTCTCTGAATTTCTTAAATTCTACAATATAATCTAATCAATTTACAAATGAACTGAATAATTTTGTATTATTAAATTTTTGTTCTGATATAGGTTTTAATTCTTTATTTTCACAAAAATCGTAAATAAATCTAACATTTGTATTTGCAGAAAATCTAATCACTTTGGGGCAAAAATTTTCATTTTTATGCCCTTTTATTTGAACACTATAATCTTTTGAATCAAGAAGATTTAAAAGTTCTAAATATTTGATTTGATCTTTGAATTCGTTAATTAAAACTTCTTCATATGAGCTATTAAAATCTTGCCAAAATCTATCATCAGCACTTTTATGTTCATATATATTTAGAAAAAGTAATGAAAACAAATAACCTTTTCCAACTCAACTCTCATCGCTATAAAAAAATATTGTTGCAGGCTTCCAGCATCTTTTATTTTTCTTTTTTTCAATATTTTTTATAGTTTGATATAAAGTATAAATATGACTTGAATTATTTTCTACCCATCTAGGATTATCTTGTGTATTTTCCACAATAATTTTATCACCAGATTTGTTTTCGATAAATAAATCATCTATTATTTTTTTAAATGAATTTTCTTTAGTATATTGATTATTTCTATTAGGTTATTTGGTTTTTTTTTATAATTTTCTAGTATATAATGGAATGATCCAGATTCAAAATCATATCTTGCAAAAGTATGTTGAGAGCAGCATTCAGGTATACACCAAACACAATTTGCAAGATTATTTAAATCTTCATAACTGCATCAACATATTGCAAGTAAAATTTTATTTTCTGAATTTTCTGGATCTACTATTTAAAAAATAGCACCTTTAATCTTGCTTCTTGGATCATTTCTATCAACTGGTTTTTGATTGTGTTTATCACATTTGTTGTGGTTTTTTTTGCAATATGCAACTGAATCTTTGATACTTTTTATAGAATCGTAATGCCATTTTTGCAGTATATTATTAGTTTGTAATTTTTTATAAATACTAGACAATCTTACTTGATTTACTAAAGTGAAAACTGCTTGAATATGGCAATCTTGTTCTTGTTTTGCATTATGATTCTTTTTATATTGGTAAACAAATTCTTTAAATAGACAAGATTTATAATTAATAAAAAAGTTTTTTATTAAAAGATCAAATTGTTTATTCTGTTATCAGTTTTGGTTATTTTAAATATTTAATAAAATTATCTAACTGTCTATAATTAGAATATTAGTCTTTATATATAACTTTTAATATGTCAATTGAAATGACTCAGTATGAGTCATCATATTTTCTAAAAATAGATTTTACTTTATTAATATAACCTTAAATTGATAAAATAACGTTTATATTTTTTTATTATATTGATAGAAAATACTCTATATACGATGATGATTTATGAAAAATTCTACTAATGAAATCGAAGTTGTGTATTAAATGAGTTTGTAGAGCATATCTCAGATTAGTAGAATATAAAATTTTAAGGCAAACAGACAAAAACTTGCAGAGATATTTAGATTTTTGTAAAAGTAAATATAGACATTTTTAATAATTTTCTCTTGCAGAAATCTATTTGCAGAAAGCAATTCTTGAAATGAAACCTACTGTATAATCATAATAGCGTTTGTAGATATGATATTCAGCTATCTCTGTGTAAAATTTTAGAGCATTTGATTAAAAATTGACGAAATGATATAAATTTTTTGTTTGCTTTCTATAGACGAGATTATAGCTAAGATATTTTTAGAGACCATCTCAAGGACAAAAATTTTTTTCTGATTCTAAAGTGATTACTGCACATTAATACTATCGATAAAGAACTTTTGTAAGAATTTTTTTGTAAAATTTCAGGCCGAACGAACAAGAATTCATAAAATTATCAGAAATTTTCATTTTTTTTAATTAAATAATTTTAATTTATATAGATATTTTATATCAAATAAAGAATTACTAAATATATAAATTCTAAATTAAGACTAGATCTAGATGCTTCTCGATTACATAATTTATATAGTTACTTTATACCAAATAAAGAATTACTAAATATGTAAATTCCAAATTAAGACTAGTATTGTTTTTTATTTTTTAAAAAATTTTCATCTATATTTTTTTATTATATTGATAGAAAATACTCTATATACGATAATGATTTATGAAAAATTCTACTAATGAAATCGAAGTTGTGTATTAAATGAGTTTTGTAGAGCATATCCCAGACTAGTATAATATAAAATTTTAAGGCAAACAAACAAAAACTTGCAGAGATATTTAGATTTTTGTAAAAGTAAATATAAACATTTTCAATAATTTTCTCTTACAGAAATCTATTTGCAGAAAGTAATTCTTGAAATGAAACCTACTATATGATCATAATAACGTTTGTAGATATGATATTCAGCTATCTTTATGTAAAATTTCAGAGCATTTAATTAAAAATTGACGAAATGATATAAATTTTTCGTTTGCTTTCTATAGACAGGATTATAGCTGTGATGAAGACGTTTTTAGAGACCATCTCAAGGACAAAAATTTTTTTCCGATTCTAAAGTGATTACTGCGCATTAATACGATTGATAAAGAACTTTTGTAAGAATTTTTCTATAAAATTTCAGACCAAATGAACAAAAATTCATCAAATTACTTTAGTTTTTCATTATGTTTTTATAAACATTCTATAGCTGAGAGAAGCAATTTCAACAAGTTTCTCATTATATTTTTATAGACATTTTATAATTAAAAAAAGCAATTTCAACAAGTTTCTCAATAACTATCTATAGTTCTGTTTGAATAACAATATTTATTTTACTGTTTATAATCTGTTTAAAAAAAATTACTCTAGACTTAATTAGAAGATGTCTTCACTGATCTAAAATAGAAATTATAATAATGAACAACTATTATTTTATTGTTAAAATTTTCTTTTTTGGGTGTCTAGTATCTACGTCTATATTTATAAAAAAAAAAATATTGTAGATTATTTGTTTAAAAATTAAACATTATACTAAGGTTAATTATTTATATACTAACTACTAATAATATATCTAATATTAGTATTTTGCGAGGCAATAGTAAAGTAAATATTCTTTAAGATTTTATATGTTCCCAAAGCTAAAAAAATTTTTGCTCTTAATACAAATTTAAATTTTTATAAATAAATTATAAAAGTCATAATAATAAAAAATATCATCTTTTATATAAACTAAAATATTGTATTA